AAAAAAAAAAGTGTTATAATGACAAGGCTCCTCTATTTGACCAAACTTTAAATAGGATTCTCTGGTAATTTTTGTAAAATCTAGTTTCAGCAAAGAACCCCATGTAGTCAGTTTAGCACAACCCCCTTACTCTGGATAGCCAATCAGGTTCTCATCTTCCAATAGCCACCAGAAGATCCTGCATCACCCCGGTCTATCTTCAGCACCAGTGCTGTTTAGGTTGATTTAGACAAAGACCCCCACGCCCCTGTCACTTGGGCCTGTCCTCAGCAGCAGTGCTGTTCAGGTTGACTTAGCCAGAGTCCTCCACACCTCTTATGGCTCCTCTTAGTAGTCTTCCATTCACTCACCCCAACTCTGCTCCTTGGTTCTACAATCTTGCTTGTGCAGACTGTGTTTGGAGCTGTACCCTGTCTTTCTCACTTGCTGCAAGACCCCAGTGTGATGGGTCTTACACCTGCACACTGGTCCTGAAGAAAGTCTCTCTTACCATGCTTTAACAAGAAGCGCTGCATACTCCCCCCCCCCCCCCACTGTGAAAATGTTGGCAGGCTATGTAAAATTCTTCTAATGTGTCTGGAAGCTGTTATGGAAAATTAAAATTCTAAATGTGGTAGAGAGAAAGAAAATCTCCGTAGGAATAAAGAATTATTCAAAGCCATTTTTGTAAGGAAGAATGAAACATCTCCTTAACTCGATTTGCAAGTTATGTTTATTGCTCTTATAATTTTTATTTTCAGTATGTGTCTTACACATACAATTAATGGGGATAAACAGAAGTAAAAACATCAATCTAATTAGCAGGAGAACACAGTCCATTTCTTTTTAATAGAGGGAAGAAAGCATGAGCAACTTTGAGTTGAAATCAAGCGTGGAAATCTACTGTTTCTTATCATTGAAAGCTTCCTGTAACTTCTATTAAATATAACCAAGCCTACTTGATATGCATTTTTAATCCAAAGTTTCAAATCACAGATAATGTGATTAAAGCATAGATAATGTAAGTGCTAATAAGGTGGTCCTTTCCCAATGTGTATGATGGTGCCAATATATGTCAGAAATAAATGAACTAGAGCCTGTGCATCTGTAAAACTCAAAATATAAGAAAAAGTTTGATCACTTTCATGATAGCATTTTATATACATGCAAAATATATATAATATCTAAACTCAAGTTGGAAGGGAAAATGTCAACGAGTGTCTCAGTTACTAGCACACTGTAATTATGGAGAAAGGTGTTTTTTTTTAAACACAGCAAAACATCAGCTCTTTTTTATTTATGGTTGTTACTAATTGAAAAATGTCTTACAACAGATGTTCACATTTACAAAGCAGCAGCTGTTTTCCACATGTGCTGTTTTATGGCAGATGAACTCAACCCTCTTTACTTTTGTGAAAGCCATAGTTTTCTAAATCATACCTGGATATCTGCTCACAAACATTTGGTTGATGGAAATAACTTTTCTGGAATCAAGTATACTGGATAAATATACCCACAGTGCACTTGGTAACGATTTGACAATAGCATATTTTGCTTTTCAGAATCAGCATCTGTAAAGTATGACATCTTAGAGCACTGAATTATTATTTATTTTGGTGAGACTGGAGTTTGAACTCAGAGCCTTGCATGTATTAGGCAGGTACACTACTGATGAGACGTACCTCTAGCCCAAGGCACATTGATTTTTGTGGGTATTTTTAATTAATTTTTTAAAAATGGGATGTTTATGGGGCTGGGAAGGTGGCTCAGTGGTAGAGCACTTGCCTTGCATGCTCAAGGCCCTGGGTTTGATTCCTCAGCACCACATAAGCAAAAAGAAAAAAGCCGGAAGTGGCGCTGTGGCTCAAGTGGTAGAGCACTAGCCTTGAGCTGAAGAGCTGAGGGACAGTGCCCAGGCCCAGAGTTCAGGCCCCACGACCGGACCCAAAACAACCAAAAAACAAAAACAAAAATGGGATGTTTAGCAGGACACTAATGGCCTCTCACACCTATAATCCTTGCTACTCAGGAGGCTGAGATCTGAGGATCATGATTTGAAGCCAGACCAGGCAGAAAAGTCCATAGGACTCTTATCTTTAACACCAAAAAGCCAAAAGTAGAGCTGCAGCTCCAGTAGTAGTAGAATGACAGCTTTGAACAAAAATCCCTCAGGGATAGTGCCCACGGCCTGAATTCAAACCCCAGGACCAGCACAAAAAAAAGAAAGGGATGTTGATGTCCTTATGAGAAAAACATTGGCAACTTTCTTGTCAGATATTCTTTTTTATGTTTATAATAAATTCAAGACAAATGGTAATTTGAATACAATGACAGCTTGATATAAATGATCATTTGAATGCAGCACAAGCAGTGAGGGAAGTGTTTTGCAGTGACATCTAAGTTTAAAATATCTGCTTTTGAGTCTACATTTTAACAAAAAAATATATAATCTGCACCAAATGATGAAAATAATACCTAATACAAGAGAAATGAACAAAGATAGAATATGGCCCCAGCAAATGAAATATTTTCTGTGAAACCTGCTATGTCTTAACACATTCCACTCAAGCATGGTTCAAACTCTGCCATGAATCTGAAATCAAGTAAGAATCTTTGATAACTAAACTGTCAAACTAATCCATACAGCTGACATTATTTTTTTTAAGATTTTATAAAATCTCTAAGCACTTGTGGCTCATACCTGTAATCCTTGATACTCAGGAGACTGAGATCTGAGGATCATGGTTTGAAGCCAGCTGGGGTAGAAAAGTCTGAGATACTCCTGTCTCCAATTAATTTTCAAAAAGTCAGAACTGTGGGTGTGACTTAAGTGGTAGAGCTCCAGCCTTCAGCAAAGCTAATCAAGAGTGAGAGGCCTTGAATTCAAGCCTCAATATACACATAGACACACACAGACACACACAGACACACACACAGACACACACACACACACACACACACAGTATGTCTGTCACACATATACAAACTCTTACATCGTGTACTAAGGTACATTGACAATAAAACTTTAGAAAGTAAGTATCCATCTTTTTCTTTTCTGTACAACTAATTGCCTACTACATAGCTATTTCCATGCTAATAGAATTTTCTGTGATTTCTCCATCTAATCAGTTTTAATGCCAAAGTAAGGGATCCTTTGGCTTTTTCAAAAGTTTTATTCTGTGAAAATTATCATTACAAAGAGAATATAAAAAGTTAACAGGTGAAATAAAACAAAATGAAGAAGTTTTGAATTTCTCAAGCATTTTAAACATTTCAAACCCTTGTAGGTGCTTGTTTATGCAGTAAACCACTTGGAATTTCCCTACATTTATCACTCAGTGGGTCAAAGAGCAAGGAGCAGATCATTTCATGGTCGTGCTTACAAGGCCTGGGTCAGAAGATAGACCCAGCCCCAGTGGCTGTGTGACTTCCTGTGGACATTGTAATGCTGTTTTCCAGAGCTCACCCCTTGCTGCTTAGTCTCCTGTGGCATGTTGTCTGTAACCTAACCACATGGTCACGAGCAACAGTTGCGCAGTAACAGGCATACTCATATACCGCTTCCTTAAATCCACGAATGCTTGCTTCTTCACATCAATCCTCAGTCCACAAAACACATAACACAAAACCTGCTCTCAGACATTCCTTTGGGGACCTTTAGTGACACATTATAGCTACACTAATTACCTAATCCACTCCTAAACTTGATCTGATATTTACTCGATGAGCAACCAACATTAATCAAAGGTCATTCACTCTGCTAATGAATGGGTCTCACAGTATCAGACCAGTGAAGAATCTGAGAGTTTAGATAATATGGTCTTTTCATTTGAAAGGAGGATGACTGAACCTCAAAGTCTATTGCTGTCCCAGGCTGTTTGCTTGAAAGGCATTAGAAATCAGTCTTAGGCCTTCATCTTTCTGTTGCCCACACATCACACCGTTTACTCTGGAAGTCCTTCTGAACTGCATAACAATCTTATTTTTCTTTCTGTTGAGTGATAACTGGGGTTTGAAATCAGGGCTTCACTTTTGCTAGGTAAGTGCCACTAGCACTCTCAAGCATTTGTTATTTCTTTCTAAGAATTTCTATGTTCAATTTTATTTGCACACCTTCACTTTCAGCCTTTTAAAAAAGTCAGTCTGAGTGATCTGGGTACTGGTAGCTCATACCTATAAATCTTAACCACTCGGGAAGCTAGATCTGAGGACTGTGGTTCAAAGTTATCCTACTCACAAAAGTCAGTGAGGCTCTTATCTGCAGTTAATCATCCCCCCCAAAAAAAATGTAAGTGAAGTGTGGCTCAAGTGATAGAGCACTAGCCTTCATGGAAAAAGCTAAAGGACAGTACTCAGGCTCTGAGTTCAAGCCCCAGTACTGACACAAAATTTACACAAATAAGACTTTGAAACTATTTAGGAAAAAATTTAAAATAATACCAAGAAACCATTTTTTAGGTAAGCATTACTTTTTGATATGTTCTTGTCATGAATTTCCCCAGTGCTGACTGGGAGTATGAATCAATGATGGAGCATCTGCCTAGACAATGCAAGATCCTGAGTCTGATCTCTAGTTCTGAAAAAACAATTTAATTCCACAATGTTCTATTAAATATTATAACTAGTAAAGCATACCATCATTCCTTCCTAGATTAAGGCACATAGGAAAACTCAATTTCACCTCAATTATGTCGAGTTTAGTTGTATAGGTACCTCTCATAGATTGTATTAAGATTCTGAATGTCAAGTAAGTGTCAGAGAACCATGGCAGAAATAATGTTTTTCTTTGAAGAAATTCTCTGTACCAACTCACAGGGATGTGATTGACCCTCCTGTGTACACACACACACACACACACACACACACACACACACACACACACACACACACACACACACACACACACACACACTGCTGATAGGTGATTTATGAAAGCCAAAGCCAACAGTGGTTCTTAATCTTTTTAAAAACTAAAGAACCCTACAAAGAAGCAATTAAGGAAAAAACTACCCACAGATGTTTCATGTTTGACGTCTCCATCCCCTTGGGTGTGGGTTGTAGTTGCAATTGGCTAGTGGAAGGCAGTAATCAGACCTGGTTTCCAAGGACATTATTTCAGAATCATTTCTGGAACCTTGCCTATAGAATGCATATGGCGGCTGTGAGCCGTATTGGTAGTTGGTGGACATGCTATTGTTGATTGGGAATGCAACATTATCATCTAGCCTTTCAAGTGAGCTTGTGTTGGTCTGGGTTTGGGAAGCATAGGACGCTCTCTCATTCCAGTCTTCTGCAGGCCCTGGAAGCACTTTCCTTCGAGCTGCAGAAACCACATTGGCCACAATGGATTCCTGGATGCTCCTGGGTCTGAACGCATCATCCACCAGGCCGAGAGGGGACCTTGCTGCAGCTTCCCAAGGAGTTGGTCTCTTGTTGGCTTTCTCCAGCCTGTTGGTTGGTTTGACAGGGTAAGCAGGCTGGTATTCCCAAAGCGATGTAGACATGGTAGGTGGGATGGGTCTTCCAGGAAGAGAAAGAGTGCGCCCACCACTTTCCTAAAAACAATGAAGATATGAATGCACCTCATCCAGCTCACTTTACAGTGATGATTATTATTCCAAGCATGTGCAACACCATTACAAAGCACTACAAAAGCTGAGGCCCAAATGCTTAACTGGGAAAGGGTGGTCTGGTGTCTGGTGTTTTCTCCCTTTCCACTTAATTCTCAATGACTTTCCTTCTTGTCCTCCATCTCTGATCCCACAGCTCCAACTGCTGTCCTCTTTCTAGGCAAGTCCCCTACAGGGACGGCCCTGTCACCAGTCAGAACCCATCGTCCAGTCGTCCTTCACAAATTCATATCTGCATCCACAGCCCACCTCCCTCCCAGGCCTGTTTTCCTGGTACAAAATAAGCAAAAACATGTTGAGAACCCCAGAAGCCATAAACCACTTGACCTTTGACTTTTCTCAAGTGACTTTCAATCTCCTTATCTCACTTTGGTTGACTGGATATAGCAAAGCACACAAGAGCCATTATATATCATTAGTTACTGGTGGGATTTGAATGCCCACCTTTGTCTTTTCAGGGCTCAGATGGTGAAAACTCCTTGGGTTTTTACTTGCTAAGTGGGGTGCACTACCCATGTCTCTGAGGGAGTTCACTCTGTTCCTCTTATATGTATTTTGCTTCCTTTTATAAATAGTACATTCTGACTTCTTTGAGTGTTTGTATCCCTAACACAGGCCTCTGCGTATACTATATGATCCGCCTGGCTAATCTGCAGTAGTGTAATTTATTGAGAGTCCTTTTACACTTTTGCCTTTCTTGGGTCCCTGAACTCATTGATTCTATTCCTTGTTTTCTTCTCCATTCATTCCTATTTACAGGAGATTTCCTTAGAACCAGTCCTGGCAAAAAAGAAGCAAGGATATACTTAGGGAAAAGTCATCTTTGAAAGTATGAAAAGATCCCTTTTCTTGACCAAAAAGCCATACGTGTATGATGGTGGGATTTCAACCTAGAGCCTTGTGCTTGTTAGGCAAATGCTCTACCATTAAGTCTATATTTTAATCTGGAATCTTGAGTCAATGCGTAGTAACGACATTATTAATAGTAACAATGGTACAGTAGTGTGTCACTACAAAGGTCTCTCGCTTTCTTTTTAAAAAGAAAATAGTGGCTAAACACAGAATCAAATTTTGTTTCTACAAATTACTTCTGAGAGCCTTGACTTTTGTGGCTTTACCACAGTAGCCCTGGTAACATAATCATTTACTGTTCTGACACAGCCATTTTCACTTAGATCCACTCTGAACACCTTCTCCATTCCTCATAGAAGTAACATCTGTGGTGTTCATTCCTTCAGGTTTTCTTCTTCCTCGAGTCTGAGAAGCCAGACACGCGTAGGCTCCGTATTTTGGTTGTGTTGAGTACATCAACATGAACACCACGGACTGAGGAAAACCATCACTCAAGCTGACCACAGGGCTGTGTCACCTGCCACCTGGTACAGTTCACATCCAGTCTGCATAGTCAGAGATCAGTGTTCTCAATGAATGTTCTCAAGGGGTTCAACCCACGAGCATGCACATCCCCTTTAGCTAGATCCATCTGCCTACAGCGAAGACCAAAAGACTTCCACTGAACTCAGGAGTCTTCTGGTGTTAAATATCCCCACAAAAGGGGCTGAACTCCAAGGAGACATGATCCTACCCTTTGCCTTTAATTATAGTCAACATGAATTGATTGCGCTTTGTGTACCAGGCAATGGGTGTTAACAGGTTTACATGGAATTATTTCATAAAATCTTCACAGCTCCCTGAAGCAGATGCTCTATTATTATCTCTGTTTTCTTGATGATAATAAAATCTGCTGGGAATTTGGCTTAATGGCAGAGTGCTTGCCTAACATGCATGAAGCCCTGGGTTCGATTCCTCAGAACCACATAAATGGAAAAAGCCAGAAGTGGCACTGTGGCTCAAGTGGTAGAGTGCTAGCCTTGAGCTGAACTGCTCAGGGACAGTGCCCAGGCCCTGAGGTCAAGCCCCAGGACTGGCAAAAAAAAAAATCTGCCACCTGGCTGCAACACTAATTCAGTTTGGTGTGGGGAGTTAAGCAGAAACGGTTTCCTGTCACTGAGGTTCTTAGGAGGTACTTTCACTAAAAAGCACCATATCCTTCCTTTGGCCACCAAGGTGACTAAAAGCAGAATAAATTGAGGCATTCCTCCCTCCATTTTATGATTACCATGGAAGCTAAGACAGACATGGCTGACAGCTGATGCGTAACTACCTTGTGTCCTAAGTTGAAGCCACCGCATCCCTCGGAAAAGAAGCATCAGGCTTGCAGACAAACCACCCCCAAGTGAGGACAGGTACCTGTGGCCACAAGGCCGCAGCTGAAGCAGGAGAAAGCATCTCATGGAGACCAGATCGCTCCCCTCCACTGATGCCGGCCATAACCCCTCTTCCCAGCCCACCCCTTAGCAGAACCAGATCTGAGCTCAGGAGCAACGCACCCTCAGGTTACCCACTTCCCTCCCCAGCCCTAACTTCCTCTGTTGAAATCTGAACGTATGTCTGTACCCCAAAGATGGGCTGAAATGCTTGCTTCTTTTCCTTTTCCTGTGCAACAAATCTCCTTTCTCTGCCCTTCACCATACACATCTCTACTTAGTGTGTTAGGGTGAGTGGCTAGACTCGGCATAGGGAAATCCTGGAGTTGAGCCCCTGGCCTAAAGCTTCCAGTTACAATCTTGGGCTATGCTTTCAATGAAATATGAAATTACTTTGAAATATATATATATATATATATATATATACATATATATGGTGTGTGTGTGTTTGTGTGTGTGCAAGTTCTAGGGCTTGGACTTAATGCCTGCATGCTATCCTTTAGCTTTTTTTCCTTTAGCTTTTTATGTTCAAGGTTGGTGCTTTACTACTTGGATCACAGCTCCACTTACGATTTTTTGGTGGTTAATATGGTCAGTCTCATCTGAGAAATTAGAAATTGGAAAGAATCATCTAAATTTCAACTACATTTAGGTTAAGAGCAACATTGTATCATATGCCGTTCGCCACAAGGTCAGGCAAGTGACCGGCACACAGGGAAATTGATGCACTGCCTGGCGAGGTTCACCTGCTGCACAAAGGGGAAAGATGAGCCAGCTCTGAATTCAAGAGAAGCAGCTTCATACAAGCCATCTTTTCATGTTAATTGTCTTATGTATAAAGCAACTTAGTTAATTTCCTTGTCAAACTGTCTGAGAACCACCCATCAGGAAACATGAAATGAGTAAATAGTAGTAGTAGTAGTAGTAATGTCAGTCTGGCATGGTGCTGTATACCTATAATCTCAACACTGAAGAGACTGGAGCAGGAGGATTTAGAGTTCTAGGACAGACTAAGACACATAGAAATACCTTGCTAATCCCCCCACACACAAAAAAAAAAAAAAAAAGAAAAGGGAAAAAGAAAAGAAGGAAATGTTGTATGACTTTCACATAGGAACAAGTAGTGAATTCTAAAGCAACGTAAACAGTCCTAGAAGCCAAAGTTGAATATAGATTTCACCGTTCTCAATATTTTCTTTTATAAATCTTGAAATCTGAAAAAAAAATTCTTTGGACTGAAATACTGCTTACACCCACACAATAGAGAAGGTCTCCTGCTGATTAGTATTATTTCACTTCCTTTGGTTCCTTTCTCTCTTAAACACATAATCAGAAAACACTTAATAAAAATATACACTCTATCATGAGTAGATTCCAGGAGGTCTAGGACAAGCAAACAGTACAGGCTTTTTCCTCTGCCATTAAAAAAAAATCAAATCAGAAGCCAGTGCCTGTAATCCTAGCTACTCAAGAGGCTGAGATCTCAGGTTCAAGGTTCTAAGCCAGCCAAGGCAGGAAAGGCCATGATACCCTTATCTCCAATTCACTACCAGAACACAAGAAGTGGCGCTGTGGCTCAGGGGATAGAGCACTAGCCTTGAGCATATGAAAGCTCAGGGGCAGCGCCCAAGCCCTGAGTTCAAGCCCCATGACTGACAAAACAAAAACAACAAATAAAAATCACTGGAATTTCTGAAAATCAGATGTTCTAGAGGAAGTATACAAAAAAAAAAAAAAAAGGAGAAAGCTTGTGAGAGGCATGGGCTGCCTCTGTTTGTCCATTTGCTGAGGTGAACATCTCTGCAGTGAGTTCTGAGTGTATTCCAGCTCACATCTGCATCACAACTGTCAGCAGGCTCTGCCTCACCAATTTCGCATCCAGTGTCCGTCCTGTTCTCACCTTGTCTACCGCCACCCCCGAGATCTGGATCACTGCCACTGTCTTCAAATGGCATTCTCTAGTTCCACCCTTTGCTTCCTTTAGTATTTCTCAGTGTGCCAGCCACAGTGAAAGCCTAAGTCAGATCACGTCTCTCAGTTCTTAAATTAAAACATGCTTACCATTTCTCATTTCAAAAACAGAAAAAGAAAAGAAAGATCCAAATCAATCAATCAACCTATAGGAGACACCACACAATCAGCCAGAGCCCCTTGTATTTCTGATTCCATCAGATCTGTCATGCTCTCTGCATCCCTTTTCAGAGACCCTGAATACACCAGGCCCTCTGCTGCCTCGGGACTTTCGGACTTGCTGGCCGTCTGTTTGGAACAAGACCCCAGATACCAATATGGCTTCTACTTCATTTCCTACAGCCTTTCTCACATACCCTAGTCACTCTGCTTACCCCACTCAGTGTCAAAATGTCAATCTCTAAGCTTGCCTGCCTGCCTGCCTTCCTTCCTTCCTTCCTTCCTTTGTGGCTGATGGCTCATGTCTGTGATCCTAGCTACTCAGGAGGTTGAGATCTGAGAACTGCGGTTCAAAGCCACCCTGGGCAAGAAAGTCTGTGAGACTCTTATCTCCAATTAACCACCAAAAAGCTGGAAGCAGTACTGTGGCTCAAGTGGTAGAGTGCTAGCTTTGAGCCCCAAATTTTAAGGATAGTGCCTAGGCTCTGAGTTCAAGCCCAGGACTGGCAAATAAAAGAAGCAAGGAAG